AGATAGTCATCATGTGGATTGAAGTAGCTAATGGGTTTATGACTTAAAGTGGAATATGCAACAGAGGGTGAGGTGTTCTTGGGTGGACCTCTTAGCCCTGTCCCTTAATAGCTGCTTGATCCTGGACCAACAACCTTTCCATACCTGAGTTTCAGGGATGTGCTAGAACTAGCTTGCCCTGGCTCACAAGGGCTGGTTGCTGAATATTCATGAGTTTTGTGAGCAGGTTTTTAAATTGTTGGCAGCTTAAAATTGGCCGTGGCGAGAGTATTTACACCACAGAAATCAGCAAACACTGCAAAGCAGGGCTCTGCTCCTCCCACCTCTCCTTCAGAGAATTGATTTGCATCGCTGCTCAGTTCCTCTGTGAATTTCTTGCAGGAATTATAATCAGATAATTTATGTAAGGGTGTCAGCACAGTGCTGGACATTTAAGAAGCTTCTCCTTAAAAGACAGTTGCTACTATTGATGCTGTATTGCTACTATTACCAATAATAATTAAGTAATGAATAATAATGCTATGGTAGCACTTTGAATATAGTAGGTACTTGAAAAATCTTAATCCCTTCCCTGTATGTTCATTATTATGAACATATAATATCTTCATTATCATGTTCATTGTTATGTTTTCATAATAATGAACATGTAGGGAAGACATTCATATGAAAGATATCAATATTATGTATTGAAACATTTTCTTTAACCTAAAGTTTATTCTTTCCTTCTGTTTTCAAAAGAAATTAAAACATTTTCATGGACCCTGGAAATTATTGCAAGCACTGGGCACTGTGTCTACTGTGTCTAATGGATAAGTTGGCTGTGTGTGTGTGTGTGTGTGTGTGTGTGTGTTTGAGATAAAATACCATGGGTTGTGTGCACTTGGCATAATTCAGCAACAGTGTAGCAGGGTGGTTAAACTCACAATCTAGAAACTGGAACTTCTAACAAAAAAATGTAAGCGAATCGTGCAAAAGCAGATTCCAAAGGGACAGCTTGCCTCCAAGTCTCACTTCTGACCCTTAAACAAAGCAGAAATTTTATTTCTTCTCATCGACCATAGCTCAGGGTAGACATTTTGACATCCGTGTGTAGCACGTGAACAGAAGCCGAATATCGTCTCCATCCTTACTTTCTCCATCCCATGATGTTTTTCTCTTTGGCTGCCACTGCAGCTGAGTGGCTGGGGGTTCTCTTCTCACCATCATGAAGCTGTCAACACCCATGGTGGGGCCTGCAAAGTATAAAGGACAGTTTATCCACAGAGCCGTGGCAGCATCATTGTTTATGAAATGATAACTGCTTCAGGTAGCAGCAAGTTCCAGCACTAGCACAACAAAAGCTCTGAGCTGGACCATCTGTTGCCACGTGGACAATCTGGTGGGTTTGCCAAAGCCATTTATCCCCGTCGAGTGCATATCCACGCTGGCCAGTCCTCACACTGAGCGGAAAGGAAATTTAAAGAAAGGCCCATCATTTATCATTGTAGACAGCTGGGCTGGAGTGTGGGCAGAGAGCACTTTTTTTTTTCCTTGAGAAAAACAAAGACCCTGAAGATGGGCAACTCTTGCTAAGCTCCAAGCTTCCCACTAACTGCAGTGCTCCAACCTACTCCTTTCTTCCTGCTTTTCCTGATTGTAGAAGGGAAGATGTAGTCATAGGTGCTAGCTTCCCTACCCCAAAAGGGTCATGACCAGGTGGCACCTGGAATTCTTTGGTTCTGAGCTGGAGTGAGCATGCGTACTCATGTCCCTGAAAGGGAAACCCAAAATAGACCCTTTCTGCTATGTCCACGGAAGCATCTGCAGGAAAGATTACTGACTTTGGAGCTCACAGACCTCATTAATGTGCAGGCTCTGTGTGCTGTGTCCCGAGCAAACTGGGACATGTGAGCTCTGAACCTCAGCTTCACCTTCTGCAACATGTGTAATAACTCCTACCTTGGAGTGCTTTCCGTGCATGCGAGATCGTATCCTGACGTTCGTGGTCCCCATTTCCATAGAAAATACTAAACAGCGCATTTCATTTGGTATAAAGACAAATATATTGATATTATTCATCAAGATATTTTCTTTAGCCTAAAGTACATTCTTTCCTTTTGTGTTTAAAAGAAATTAAAACATTTTTATAGAACTTGAAAGTTATTGTGAGCCTTAGGCACTGTGTCTACTGTGTCTAATGGATAAGTTGGCTGTGTGTGTGTATGTGTGTGTTTGGGGTGTGTGTGAGTTTGAGATGAAATACCATGGGTTGTGTGCACCTGGCATCATTGTTAGCAACAGTGTTTCAAAGTGGTTAAACTCACAGTCTAGAAACTTCAAGTCCTGCCTCTGTTGCTTAATTGCTTACAAGCTACTTTATACACACATACATATATATTATAGGTATATGTGTATATATACAGATGTTCCTCCACTTACAATGAGGACACATCCCAATAAACCCATTGTAAGTTAAAATTATTGAAGTCAAAAATGCATTTAATATACCTAACCAATCAAACATCACAGCTTAGCCTAGCCTACCTTAAACATGCTCAGGACACTTACATTAGTCTAAAGTTGGGCCAAAACATCTAACACAAAGCCTACTTTATAATAAAGTGTTGAATATTAATATCTCATGTAATTTATTGAATACTGTACTGAAAGTGAAAAATAGAATGGTTGTATAGGTACCCAAAGTATGGTTTCTCATCCTCATATAGCCATCTAATCTTTGACAAAGCAGACAAAAACATACGCTAGGGAAAAGAATCCCTTTTCAATAAATGGTGCTGGGAAAACTGGATAGCCACCTGTAGAAGGCTAAAACAGGACCCACACCTCTCACCTCTCACAAAAATCAACTCACGCTGGATAACAGACTTAAACCTAAGGTATGAAACTATTAGAATTCTAGAGGAAGATGTTGGAAACACTCTCCTAGACATTGGCCTAGGCAAAGAGTTTATGAAGAAGTCCCCAAAGGCAATCACAGCAACAACAAAAATAAATAAATGGGACATGATCAAACTAAAAAGCTTCTGCACAGCCAAAGAAATAGTCATGAAAGTAAACAGATAACCTACAGAATGGGAGAAAATTTTTGCATCCTACACATCCGATAAGGGGCTGATACCTAGAATATACTTAGAACTCACGAAAATCAGCAAGAAAAAATCAAATAACCCTATTAAAAAGTGGGCAAAGGACTTGAACAGAAACTTTTCTAAAGAAGACAGAAGAATGGCCAACAAACATGAAAAAATGCTCAACATCTCTAATCATCAGGGAAATGCAAATCAAAACCACAATGAGATATCACTTAACTCCAGTGAGAATGGCCTTTATCAAAAAGTCTCCAAACAATAAATGCTGGCATGGATGCGGAGAGAGAGGAACACTCCTACACTGCTGGTGGGACTGCAAACTAGTTCAACCTCTGTGGAAAGCAATATGGAGATACCTCAAAGCGATACAAGTGGATCTACCATTTGATCCAGCAATCTCATTGCTGGGCATCTACCCAAAAGATCCAGTGACACTCTACAAAAAAGACACCTGCACCCAAATGTTTATAGCAGCACAATTCATAATTGCGAGGCTGTGGAAACAGCCCAAGTGCCTATCAATCCAAGAATGGATTAATAAAATGTGGTATATGTATACCATGGAGTACTATTCAGCTCTAAGAAACAATGGTGATATAGCACATCTTATATTTTCCTGGTTAGAGCTGGAACCCATACTACTAAGTGAAGTTTCCCAAGAATGGAAAAACAAGCACCACATATACTCACCAGCAAACTGGTATTAACTGAGCAGCACCTAAATGGACACATAGGTACTACAGTAATAAGGTATTGGGCAGGTGGGAGGGGGGCAGGGGGCGGGTATATATATATAAAATGAGTGAGATGTGCACCATCTGGGGGATGGTCATGCTGGAGACTCAGACTTGTGGGGGGAGAGGAGAATGGGCATTTATTGAAACCTTAAAATCTGTAACCCCATAATATGCTGAAATTTAAAAAAAAAAGAAATTAAAAAAAAAACAACAACAAAGTATGGTTTCTACCCAATGTGTATCACTTTTACGTCACCATAAAGTCAAAAACCCATAAGTTGAAATATTGTAAGTTGAATTATTATAAGTCGGGGACCATCTGTATATATATTCATATAGATGTATTATATATATTTATAGGGATGTATATGGATATAAATTTCTGAAATACAAATATATATGAAATGGTTAAAATACACTACTGTTAGCTACCCACCCAAAAGGGTGGTTGTGGAAGCTGTATAGATTAATTAATATGACTCTCTTAAGGCAGTTGCCTGGAATCAAATAAGTCTGTGCTAAATGTTAGGTGCTCCCTGGCCCACTTTGCTAACTATCTGATTTACAGGGCAGCGAGTGCGTTGAGAAGCAGCAGGCGCAGTGGTTGTGAGCAGAACCTCTGGAGTTGGAAGAACTTCATGAGCACGAGATAAATGCCTGAGAAAACGTCACTGTTGCATTGAGGTCCCACTCAAGCCATTCTGCTCTGTGACTTTTTTTTTTTTTTTTTTTTTTTTTTTACCAAATCCCATTTAAATGACCAGTGTCGCCCGTATACAAAATTGAAGAGGTGGCTAATGATGCGTGAGCACATTTTATAGGAATCCACTTGACCTGCAAAGGATCAATTCCATGATTTGATTAGAGGCTTAACCTTTCAGAGTCCAGCTTTGACCCTATGTTCACAGATAAATCTCCAAAGCTGATAGATCCTGACATTTAAGAGTTTGGTTCAAGGAAAGGTGATATTCCAGTTTCCATTTTCCTAATAGAGATGAAATAAACCCAGTCATGCCATTCATTAGCTGTATCATTTTGTATGACTCTCATATGCTCTCTTGGCCTCAGTTTCCTCATTGGTGAAACAGTAGAGTTCGGCTTAGGAAGCATGTTTGCAACTTTGCTTCTCAGGGTGGAGGGGTTGTATAAAGTGCTTCCAGTGGCTCCTGGGGAAGTTCGGTGGGCAAGACCCTGCCCCTCCCTTCTTGCAGAAAGCTCCATTGTCATCTCTGTCACTTCTCGGATTTCACATAAGATATGAGTTGAACAAAGAATTTGATGCCTAAAAAAATAATAAGGTATGCCAAACACTGGACTACATGACATCTCTATTTAATACTAATTATGATATTTGGAAGCAGTGGGCTAAGTCTGAGATAAAATTGAATAGAAATACACATAAGATTCCACACTGAAGCCCCCAAAGGAAACCATCCAAGTAGAGGATGAGGGATGAGCTTATGAATACTACTTAGGTGTTTTGGCTGTGGAAAAGCTCAGGATGAACTAAGATCATGATATTATCACAAGACAACAAGATAAAGCAATGACCAGCCACCGCAACGACCACCACCTCCACCTCCTCCACCGTAAACTGGTAAGTTTTAGGGCCAAATTAATAGAAAAGAAATCTTCAGAACCAGAAAGGTAAATTTCTCTCTCTACTCCTTGTTGGCTATACTATCCCGTATGTATTCTGGTTTGGGGGGGAATGTGTCCTTGGGATGGTATTTCATGGGTTTTGGTTAGAAGTTCCAGAAATATCCATATTCATCTCAATCAAATGCCGCTTTTCAAAGTTCCAAGGGAAATTACAAGCCCATAGACAAATATTACCATAAAAATCATAAGCATTTACTTACAAGGTTTGAAGAGCTGTTCTAAGTGTGTTTTATATATTGTTATATCTCATTTAATCTTCATAACTACCAAATGAAGTAATTTCTACTATCTCCGTTTTTATCAGAGGGGGAAACTGAGGCACAGGGATGTCATGTAATTGGTGCTACACTGCACAGCGAGAGGCAGAGCAAATGAAATTCCAAGTACGCATTTGCAACTCTCTGGGTCCAGGCCAAAGAATCTTCTTGAAGGAGCCGTAAAAGAACTAACTGTCTTGGGGCTTCTGGCTTTAGATAAAGCCTTGGTAAGTTCTATATCTACTCTTTATTTTGTATTTATTTGTATTTATTTCAAAGTGCTATGGGGGTACAATATTTTTGGATTTGCTTTTGTGATGCTTGAGTCATGGTTATAACAGAAGCTTTTCAAAAGAAGACAGACAAATGGCCAATGAATGTATGGAAAGAAAAATGCTCAATGTCACTAATAACCAGGTAAATGCTAATTAAAACCGCAATGAGGTATCTCCTTACCCCTGTTAGAATGACTTTTATTAAAAAGTCCCACATATTTTGAACAAAAGAAAGTCCAAAAACAATAGATGCTGGTGGTACTGCAAGTTAGTACAACGTCTATGGAAAACAGTATGGAGACACCTCAAAGAACTAAACGTAGACCTACCATTCCCTGCTCCTTTAAACATGAACATGAGTTGGTGGGTGTTCCCATTTCTGGCCATCCATATGATACAGGAACTTAAAGCAGTGACCTTTAGGTTCATGAAAGTAAGGAGAGTAGCCATCCTGGATGCCCCTGCCTTCCCAGGCAGCCCCTGACTCTTTTCCTTTCTGTCAACATGATGGAAAAAAATGCCAATGACTACTGAGTGCATAACCTTGAACTCTAAAGGGGCCTAGCCAACTCTAACCATGGCCAGCCGGCATCTGCATCCTGAACCATCATAACACTCTTCTCTCCTCTTCTGAAGACATCAGAAATTATGTGACAGAGAAGCAGGTCTATGGGATGGAAGCTTCCATTATTACCTCTTGCTGCACTTAATCCTGAGCACCTCTCAGGATTAAGTAGACTCTTGCAAACTCAAGTGTGTGGGACCAGGAGAGGAGAAGTCAGAACTTGGTCACGGAGCATTTATCCTCAGAAGAACAGATTTAGGTTTCCTGTTGTCCGACCAGTCCAGTAATGGAATGGAATGGGCTGCCTTGTGAAGCAGGTAGCCCCCGTCACGGAAGATGCTCAGAGACCAGGTGACACCTGGTGAGGATGCAGTAGGTCAGCTCCACTCAAAGTGTGGTCTGAACGCTGATTCTGGCCTACATATGGTTACTGGTCTGCAGCTAAGTAGATTCAGAAAGTGGGAGAAAACATTGATAAAGTTTTCTGGCAAATTAACAGAGTAATTTTATATTCATTGAATCAAATGATAATTAAAAATAATTGAAATAACTTGGACTTGTCTATTATACATTTAATTTCATTCTCCTAATAACTTTTTAAAAAATAAAAGTATTGATCTGTGGATGCATTAAACATTTAAAAGCCAATTCCTTTGCCATAGATAGTTCGAGAAGCACCAGTGTAGAGAATTTTCTGCCATTGGGTAGGAAAGTTGGGCTGTACCAACATTAAAGTCCTTAATAAGACTGAGATATATACATTTTAACAAATAGCATATGAAAATTTCCCAGCACAGTTCCAGGCACATAACAGGTATTTAATACACTTCATTTCTTAGCCTAATCACATGCCCATTATAGTTTATACCTCGAGGTCAACCATTTGTGCACAAAAAATCATATTTACATGGGAGGAAAGTTGGAAATTTTCAATTGCAGAGTCTTTTCATCTGTGAGTGCCTATACATGCCTGCAAAAATACACATGCATACGTACACATATTTACACTTTCTTTATATTGTGGGCCTCTGAAAATAACCTTTCCTTTCCTTTTCTGGGCTTTGCTTTTCATTTGTATAGCATGCATGAAATGGGGTGAAATTAATCCACCACCACTTATCGATATCCCAGTTTTTAACAGTTTATTTGGGATTTATAGGATGTATATATCTAAGAACAAATTTCCTTTATTGTAAGGTGCATGCCATTTCATTTAGGTCATCGTTCCTGGGTTTACATCATCTGAGTGATGAATGTTTTTCTGAGTCTTCACATCCAATTGTTGCCAGTTTCATTGGTGTAAAATGACATTTCATTATTGTTTTAATTTGTCTGATTACTGATGACATTGAGCCTCTCTTCATTTACTTATTAGCACTGAATATTATTCTTCCTCCTCTGTAAATCTCCTATTCATATGGTTGTTTATTTTTCTGTTTTGGCTTAGCTCAGTTTTTTTGGAAAACATTTCTATTTGAACTGGACTTTGGAAGCAAACATTGGTATCTGAGCCTCGGGATTGCAATGACTCACGGATGGCACAGTGACCTCCAGGTTGGGACAGCAGAATGGGAGCCTGGATAGTTGGCTCTCTGACCACTAGGTGGCAAACGCAAACGCTCCCAGCAGTTGCCATCAGACACTGTTGGAACACACAGGCCGGGTCAGCCATGTGCACACCTAAGTGATGCTGAACAAGTGAGGTGCAGACTGGAGCCAGTTGGAGTGAATCCTCCCGACCGCACCTGACCAAGGAGTGGACGATTTCTTTAGTGAAGAGAGTTGGAAATGATGCTTGAGCTGACTCCATGGTAAATTATTTCTGCTTTTCATTGCACAGTGTGGATTTCACTATGCTCAGCTAAGCCTATTTTTTTTAATTATGCAAAATACTAAATTAAAGAGTCCTATCAGATATTCCTGCCTACCTGTGTATCTCACTAATGAGTTTAGCCACCATTCAGGTGACCACTGTGGGAGAATCAAGTGTCAGACTGCCTTATAGAATACCGCTTTAATTAACAAGTTTTTTTTTTTTTCCCCCCTGCTCAGGTGTGTGAGATATTGCATATGCAGCCAGTGGCTCAGACACAGCTAAAATGAAAATGAATGTGTGTGCTGCGTTTGGACAGATGAGCCCCCGACCTGCCATGCTGTCGCCGAGTGATGGCTTTTACATTCGAAGGGAGCCGTTCCCCACCATAAAGTTGGAAGGTGGCCGCGAGCCTATCCGCGTTTGGCAGGTTTGAGGAGTCCAGATGTCCGTCATGAAATGGGTTATTTAATGTATCTGTGGGCTGTTTGCAAAATGGGAAGGCCTCCATTTTTGTAAACACCAAGTGGGCAAATGCCAAATGTGTTTGCCATCAACACCAGTGTGTACATGGGTAGTAAGTGCACATAAAGGGTCCTTTCTATTCAATTCCATGCAAATCAAACATTTGCATTTCAATTCATATCCACTTAATTCTATTTCCTGTGCAGACTGAGCTCTGTTAGGTCACCCTGCCAAATGGTGGTGTCTCCTGAACCTCTTTCCTAGAGGGCGATAATCAAACTCATCTCTGTCTATGTACCAGGTGGAGGTGGCATGAGGCCGACCCTCACTCACCTTCATCATAACTCAGCATCAAATTCAACTTACCTGGCAATAACTGGAAATACCTGAAAATAATTCAGTGAGACCAGATACCCATGGACCCACTCAGAGATTCAAATTCAGTGCTTTGTGGGTGGTTTGGGAACCAGTGAGTTTAGTAAACACTCCCAAATAATTCTGATGACAGTGTTGTGTGGCTCACAGGCTTACAGACGTCACTGTAGAATAGCGACTGGCTTCACTTCTGGTGAAGGTAGGGCAAATGGAACAAGTCCCCGTAGTGGCTCCATCTCAGTGGGTTACAGAATCCTGGAAATGTACATCTCTCCTGGCAGATGTCACGCCTACTGGCATGGACATGGATTTTGGAGGCAGACAGACGTTGGGGACAATCCTGCCTAGACTACGTGCTGGCTATGTGAGTTTGAGGCTGCCACTTTACCTTTTTTGACATGAATTTCCTGACATGTAAGCTGTGGGTTTACTTTTCAGGATTTTTGAGGGACTCAGAGGTAATGCAATTGAGTGGTTACCATGGTGCCTAGCGTGTTGTAGGCTCTCGATAAGCGGTGACTTATCTTCTTATTATTATGGTTAATATCCCTTTAAATTCCAATGATCAGATCTTAGTCACAAATGAATCGGAGCAAGGAAGATCTTCCAGAATATCGCCCCCTCCCCCTCCGCTTCCCGCTTCTCCCTCCTGGTTTCGGTTTCCCTTTAAGTGGTAATGCTAGTTTCAGATGAGATGTTCCCTTCCTTGTATTTTAAACACTGGAGGAAGTCAGAGCTTGACAGCTCTCATCTGCACAAGCGTGATGCCGGGAGAGGGGATGTGGAGGAGAGTGCCGGCCCCCTCTCTGCCCGCGTGGCGGTGTGCAAAGTGGCTGATTAGCCAGGTATTTTTAAAGTTTCATGGGTGCAAGGCAGCCTCCGCTAATGAGAGTTTTAGGGGATTTCTCAAATCTGAAGTGAAGGGTGCCAAGAGTGGAACACGACCTTGGGGCTTTCCTGTACGTGTTAACTAATATTACAAAGGACTCTCAGAAAACCCTCTGAAGTCAACTTCTGCGGGAGGAGTGTGGGGGGACAGGTGAGGCTCTGCGGACCGGGAAGGGAGCGTTAATGATGGCTGCTATAAATAGATCCCTTCCGAAGGCTGGGGCAGAATATCGCGGGGAGTTTGCTACGAGCAGGAGACGGAGAGCTCTGAGCCGGAAATCAGGTCAAGGGTCCTCATGACACTGTTTTATTTGGAGGCAAAAGTGGAAAACAACCACGCATAGTCACCAAAGCGCAAGGCTGATGGGGCTCTGGCAGGGCCCCCCAACTACCACATACACCCCACTAATAGCTCTTTTACTTTTGTATAGGCAGAGTCTCCCTCTGTCTCTCAGGCCAGTGGTGGCGTGATCATAGCTGGCTGCAGCCTCAAACTCCTGAGCTCAAGCCGTCCTCCTTCCTCAGCTTCTCCAGTAACTGGGATAACAAGTGTGTTCCACCAGCCTCAACTCATTTTTTATTGTTTTTTAATGGAGATGAGGATCTTGCTATGTTGTCCAGGCTGGTCTTGAACTACCGGCCTCAAGCAATCCTCTGGCCTCGATTTCCCAAAGAGCTGGGATTACAAGCCTGAGCCACCGTACACCAACCTTACTGGGTTCTCTTTTTTTAAGGAGTCAAATCTGCCATAAGTGATGACCTCAGCTCATTGGGAACCGAGGCATCCTGCACACGTCTTATGTGCCAACCCTTGTACTTGGCAGTTCACATAGGCTGGGTCCACCGTCCCATGGCAACCATGGAGAAGGCACTTTATTCCTATCCTATAGGCTGTGCAACTGATGCCTTGGAGGGGCTGCCCAGACTTCATACAGATACTAGGTGTTGGGCAGAATTCGCACTCAGGACTCAGGACTCCCTGTACTCGAAGCAGCTGACTTACTAGTACGTAGGGTATGAACTAGGAAACTTAAGTGGGTGGCTAATATGGGCCCTTGGGGAAGAAAAGAGGGATGCCGCAGGGGTCCATGAGGATTAAGAGGCAAAGCTGGGATTCCTACACGGGTCAGAGTCCTCTCAGTGGCGTGGGGACAGATGCAGATATGAACAGACAGGCTACGCACTGCCATCTGAGATCCAGGCAGCCGGTGACAGAAGAGGGGACTCACTGAATGTATGATTCGAGCAGTGGAATTTTTTTTTTTTCTGGGCAAAGAGTCCTGCCCAACAAAGATAGGGGTTATGGTAGAGCTTAAACTTGAGTGGGACGTTCTGTTGCCCTATGGGGGAAACTGAGGCAGAAGCTAAGGTGACTAGACTGGATCATTATGGGATTGGGGAAAAGAGTATCAATAAAAGGCAGGAGTCGAGGTTACCCAGGGATACAGCCAGCTCAGAGCCAGGTGCTCTTCCAGGCCCGCCAGATGTTGAGCTTGAGGGCTTTTCTTGCTATGTTTCTGGACCCTGTCTCAATCACTCCCATCCTACCCCCTCAGGACTTAGCATGGCACCTGGAACACAGTACTGCTCATTCTTCATTCTCGCCATACCCCACCATGAGCCTCCCCCACCTACGTGTATGAGATGTGGCAGGGAGCTAGAAATCCCGGGTTTAAGGACTGCAGCTGAGTTCTGGGTTGACTTGGAGCAAGCCCACCAACTTCTCTGTGGAGTTTCTTCATCCGCAGAATTTGTAAAAAAAAATTCATTCTGGGACTTTGCAGAAAAGACATAAAACCATGCTCCTTATATCCTAGCCATCTGGGACACAGCCCAAAGTGACGGATCTCAAACTTGAAATCTCTCTGAAGTCTCATACTGTATCTTAAAACACACACACAGTCACACACACACACACACACACACACACACACACATACACACACACACATACACACACACACTCTGCTCCATAATATATTCAAGTTTTCTTTAACATAACATGATGTTGTCCCCTGTCCCCCCAAATTGAGTGCAGTTGATATTCTAAGATGCCTTTCTCCCTGGCATCTTCATATGCCTCCCAGTATATACCGTGTGCCCCGGTTTAAAAGCCCTTTGAAAAGAATAAAGCAAAAAATAAAAGAAAACTATAAAGCACTGAACAAGTGCAAGGCATTCTTAGAGTTCTTATTTATTAATAAGTAACTGTTTTTAATAATTAATGCCAATCAAATCCACTTAAGTTGCCCAAGTCCTTCAGGAATTAGAGACGGCCTCAGCCGCAGCTAAAGGAAAGCACAGCTGCGAGGAGAATCTCTCCTCTTCTGACTCAGCTCTGCTGAGCATCTTTTTCCCCCAGTGCTGCTGGATTCTGGGTTGGGCTTCATTTTCAGTCACACCTGCTAGGGACAATAAACACAACAGCAGCAGCAATAGAAAAACAACAACTCAACCTACTACCTACGAAGCATTGTGCTAAGTGTTACACAAGCATTGTCTCATTTCTTCCTTATAACAGAGCCACATATTAATAGTAGGTATCATATGCAATTTTCAGAGGACACAGAAGCTAAGGGAAGTGATTCTTCTAAGGGCACTCAGTCAGGTAGAAGTGGAAGCAGGATGGAAGTACATTTCCAAAGCAGAGATCTGCAAACCACAGACTGTACCCTGTCCCATGGGGCAGATCTGGCCCGCCATCTGTTTTTATATATAAAGTTTTATTAGCATACAGCCACAGTCATCCATGTTTGTATTATCCGTGTCTACTTTTTTGTGCTATAATGGCATAGTTGAGTTGTTGCAACAGGGACCGTATGGCCTGCAAAGCAAAAAATATTGACTATTTGGACCCTTCCCGAAAAAGTTGGCTGACCCATGTCTAGAGCTCTCACTGGTTGTCACAGTTTTTATTTTTAACAGAGGTCCTATCTGTGTGTGAGCCTGACCCTGCAGTCCCATCCAATGCGGAACAACCCGAGATCTGAGAGCCATGTTGGTTCAGAAGAGGAAAGCCCGGATTGGAGGACTTCGCCGTGTCTGCTTTGCTTCCAAGCTGGGACCTGTAAGGCTCTGTCCAAATCACATCCCCTCCCCCCAGCCCATTCTCTGTCCTGCTGCTCCTGCAACCTTGGGACAATTCACCTTCCCACTTGCAGAAATGTCTTCCACGGCTCCTGTAGCCTTGTCTTGACATCCAAACACCTGCACTTGAATGTTTATAGCAGCACAATTCATAATTGCAAGGCTGTGGAAATAGCCCAAGTGCCCATCAATCCAAGAATGGATTAATAAAATGTGGTATATGTACACCATGGAGTACTATTCAGCTCTAAGAAACAATGGTGATATAGCACATCTTATATTTTCCTGGTTAGAGCTGGAACCCATACTACTAAGTGACGTTTCCCAAGAATGGAAAAATAAGCACCACATATACTCACCAGCAAATTGGTATTAACTGAGCAGCACCTAAGTGGACACATAGGAACTACGGTAATAGGGTATTGGGCAGGTGGGAGGGGGGCAGGTATATACATATAAAATGAGTGAGATGTGCACCATCTGGGGGATGGTCATGCTGGAGACTCAGACTTTTGGGGGATGGGGAGAATGGGCATTTATTGAAACCTTAAAATCTGTACCCCCATAATATGCCAAAATAAAAAAAAAGGGAAAAAAAATTCCTTCACGTGACATCAGAAGGTTTTTATGACCAAGTACATTTGCATCCTTCTGGCCTCCATGGTTGACTTTTTTTTTTTTTTTTTTAGAAGGGAATTTCTGTCTCTCCCCAACATTTCCACATCTCTCAGCATCCTCCTAAAATATTTCTCTTTTGCCTAAGAGGTGGGTTGCTGACAGGACTAGCCAGAGCTCGAGTTAATGTGTGCTGGGAGGTGGGGCTCCTGTGCCTTTGGAGACGCCGTGTGGTCCCCCTCTTGCAGTGACTGCTCCTGGGGGTAGGAGTGCATCCCCTGCCTAGTCCTCCTCTGCTCCCGTTCCTCTCCTCTCTGCTTCCCCTCTTCTCCACGGGCGGGGAAGTTAGAGCAGGTTCTCTTCGCAGTTCCAAGTTCCATGGATTCAGAGGGGAAGGAGTTTGCTGTCCCTTCACCTCGGCTCTCACCAGGGCTAGCCAAAGGTCGATCTGGAGTGCTGGCTAAGCCACCAACGGAGGAAGGTAGCTGCTGAGTGTCAAGATTACTGTTGGGAAACTCACACACGAAAAGCAGTTGATGGGTGGATCGGGCCATTACTGTGTTCCTGGATGAAAACCCCAAACTCACTTGGAAACACAACAGCCTTCGCCTTCATGCTGGGCACACAGGGCCAAGTTCAACTCCCCTGAGACCTCAGGACCCTCTTCACATTGCCCGCTTGTTTATGAGATGTGCTCCTCTCTTTCTATGACTACCCCCTACTTAAAAATTCAACGCAGGATTTATATTTCTTTAAGGATGGTCTTCTATGATGCCCAGTTAGATTTGTATGTTTCTCTTCCAGGTTCCAACAGTTTCCTGTACCTGCTCCTTTTCTGGCTCCGGTTACACCTTTTTGCAACTGTGAATTTACTTGTCAACATGCCCCCTAGACTGGGCACTGCTCGAGGGTGACAGTCTCATTCACCTATTCCCCCAAATTAGCAGAACATCTGACATAGCGTGGGTGTACTGCTTAGGGTACATCGGCTACAAATAACAGAATTCTTGACCAATGGTGGCTTAGACCAAAAGAACCTCTCGCGTTTAATGGAAGTTCAGAGGTCGATGGTCCAGGGTTAGTTCAGGCTTTCAGCAGTGTCCTCTGAGCTGCAGACTTCTCCACTCCTTCCATTTTGCCGCATTCTATATCGGAAGGTTTCCTTTCATAGTCACAGGTGGGTGTCTTGGCTCCAGGCGCCATATCCCCACACGGCAACTTCCAAAGAGGTAGCAAGAGGTTTCCAGTGGGTGGCACAGAACATTTTCTACAGTTAGGTTTTTTTTTGTTGTTGTTATTTTGCTGGGAGGAGGTAGTTACAAGAAGGCACGGCCAGCTGACTTTTCTGCATGTCTTATTGGCCACAAGTGGGTAACATGCCCTCTGCTAAACCAATCCCAGGCAAAGCAGAACTGTTCAGTGGTGATTTGTTTATAATAGTGATTGTTTATCAGCAGAGGATAAGGGGAGTGGATGCTTTCATTGGGCATTTTCAAATAACAACATCTTAGCCCAAAATGTCTATTCACTCCATACATTCTGCATGCAGGGGGTGATTTATATTCAAAGAGTCATTGTCATCAACAAAAGATGGGGGCTTCCCTGGCACGCTTTTACGAGGAGGTAATTTTCCAGTCAGAGGAAGGTGGGAAAAGCTACACTATTCAAAACTCCCTTCTCTCCCGCCATGCCAGATGGAGACTGAGGGAATATAATGGAACAAAACACTGCTAAATCCACCCGGACCACACAGGCCACCTGAGACTTCCAGAACACATTTCAGGCCTCTCCAGTTCAACAGCCATTTACTGAAGATCTGCCGAGTGCCATTCACAGTTCCAGCCACGAGCAGGACAGAGCACCACCCTTCACCAAGCACGCGTCAAGGAGACAGTCACAGTGGACAAAGAAGATGAAGGGCCTTACCGGCCATGGAGGTTTGTGTTCTGTGATTCTGACTCATTCATCCGTTCATTCAGTAAATATTCATTGAAAACAGACCACTGTTATCTATATTGGAGATCCAGCAATGCATAAGACAGGTAGGATTCCTGCTTCCATGAGGCTTATGTTCCAGTGGGGAAAGCAGATGATAAAGAGGTAAATAAGAAAATGATGGCTAGAAATAAACGCTACCAGTAAGCAGAGTAAGGGATGCAGAGTGGGTGGGAGGAGTGCCTGCTTTTGGACGGGTGGTTAAAGAAAGGTTGTGCAAAGGGATGGGGCTTGTCCTGAGACGGGAAAGGTATGAAAGATCCAGTTATGTGAAGGTGTGGGAGGAGTAACTGCGAGGGTAAAAGACTGCAGACGGAGAATGATTTTGCCTGTTCGAGGCGTGTCCAAGGTGTCTGATTCGGAGTGAGCAAGGGGACAGTCCCAACTACAGGCGAGGTTGCACAGGAAGGCGGGCCCCTTTCTGTAGGGCTCTCTGGGCCATGCTGTGGGACCTCTTTAAAATGCATTTTCCCTGCCAACTCATGTGCTGGCAGTATGAGCAACATGGATAAGAAATGCATAAAATACTTTAAATAGCAGCTGTGGGGCTTGCTTGAGCACATTATTTGTTATTATGTTATTTGAATTGTAGGATGCAGCCCACACGAATACTGCTGTTTGCACAGCCTTATTTGCTTGGTATATCGTGGTCCTGGTTAATGCCGGCGTCTGCGCAATCTTCCTGTGTTCTGTGGCTTCCCGAGAGAAGCCCCATCGTGGATTCAATAAAGCTAGCAATAAAGCCCATATTAATAATGTATGCAGAGCTATATATGTCTATTTATAAGGTGCAGAATTGCAGTCCAAATGTATCCCTTCTCTCTCTTCAGATGAATGGTAAGTGCCCTGAACTATGTTAGATGAAGTTTCTCTCCCAACCTGACACCCCCTTTTCACCGCACGGCATTTTAAGAGCTGGGATAAGTGCTGTGCCAGCCATGGGACCATTGCATACATATTGCCCCTTGGATCCGGGACGATTATTTAAGCTGGAAATAGGAAATAAAGCATGCCAGGAACATGCTGTGCTTCACAACTGAAAAGAGGGGGAAGTAACTGGGAAACCGCATGAGAAAGGAGATGGATAAGCTGTCTTGGAAGACATTCTTTATATGAGAAGAGTTCAGTAAGGCAGCAGAATACAAGAAAATAAGGCATCTAACATGTGAGGTGCACCTACTATGTGTCAGAGACTATGCCAGGGTGTATATACAGGCGCGCCTTGTAGATATTTCAGGTTTGGTTCCAGACCACTTCTTTTTCCAAAGAAGATATGGCCAGTAAGTGCATGGAAAGATGTTCAATATCAGTGAAATACAGGTCAAAGCCATAATGAGATAATATTTCACACTCAGATGGCTGTCATCAAAAAGTATGATAAACAACAAGTTTGGGCAAAGATGTAGAAAACTTGGAACCCTCATACACTGCTAGTGGGAATGTAAAATGGTGTAGCTGCTTTGGAAAACAGTTTGGCAGTTTCTCAAAAAGTTAGAAATAGAATCGTCACATGACCTAGCAATTTCAGTTTTAGATATTTATATTCAAGAGCATTGATAACTCCGTGACCACAGAAAATTATACATGAATGTTTACTGTGGCATATTCAAGGTAACCCCAAAATGGAAACAACCCAAATATCTACCAACTGATGAATGGATAAACAAATCAGAGTATGCACATAACATGAAATATTACTCAGCCATAAAAAGGAATAGAATATTGGTACTTGCTCCAACATTGATGAACCTTGAAAACATGCTAAGTAAAAGAATCCAGGTATAAAGGTGTAGATATTACATTCTTTCACTTAAATGTCCACAAAAGGCAAGTCCATAGAGGCAAAAAGTAGATAAATTGACTCTACTTAAAAAAAACTACTGAGCTGTACACTTTAAAAGGGTGAATTTTATGGCACGTGGATTATGTCTGAATTTTTTAAAAATATGGTGTAGTGATGACCCAAACTCCTCTAGAGCCAGCTGCCTGTGTTCAGATTTCAGCTCTGATCCTGGCTGTGTGATCTTGTGCCTAGAACCTAACTCGTAAGTGCCTCAGTGTCCGAATCTCTGTAAGGGATAGCAAATCAACACATTGTAGAATTCCTGGGAGGACCGTATGAGTTCCTGCATGGATAAAGCCTAGAATAGTCCCTGGCATGCCTGAGAGCTCAATAAATTGCTGGAAGGGTTACAGTCTAGAGAGAAAGTGTTGAGACACAAACAGAAACGGCGATTCAGCACGTCAAGTGCTATGATGCGGAGAAACACCAGGTGTTCTTGGAACGGTTGGGCTGTCTGATCCAGCCCGGGGCAGCGGGGGAGTCCTCCTGAAGGGGGTGATGCCTTGCATGGGCTTAAAGGACAAGAAGGAATTAAGCGGGCCGAGATTTAGATAATTCAGGTCGAGGGAGCAGCACACACAAAGCCTCCAGTTTGAGAGAAAGAGCGTGGTGCCTTTCGTAAAGACAGAGTGGGAGGAGAGAAAGGACTGAGATTTGGGGCTGGAGCGTCAAGCAGTGGTTAAAGCTCTAAGAGCCATCACAATCTTGTTTTAGAGAAT